TTATAGTTTTAGGTTTAACATTAGGTCTTTGATCCATTATCTCTTCCCCGTGTAATAGACTTCAACCCTTTGTTGAAGATCAGCTGTCCATAGCTGGATAGATTTACTTCTGGGTTCTCAGTTCTGTTCTATTGGTCTATCCAACATATTGTTTTGAAAAGAATCTCTGAGTGGTGAAAATGGTTAGAGCACTCAGCCACTAACCGAAAGATTGCAGGTTCAAGTCCACCCAGAGCTGCCTCAGAGGAGAGGCCTGGACATCTACTTGTGAAAAATCAGCCATTGAAAATCCTATGGAGCACAATTCTACTCTGACACACCTGGGGTTGCCATGAGTCGAATCGACTCAATGGTAACTTTTAGTTTATTATTTTGAAAAATTCAAGCATTACAGAATAGTTGCAAGAATAGTGCAATGGATCTTACATACCCTTCAAAGAATGAGTGGTTTAAAGAGATAAGCAACTGTGATATAATCTACCAATTGTTGAAAATTCACCTAAATTCACCAGTTGTTAAAATTTTGCCACATCTGTTTTTCTGTACATATTTTTTCTTTCTTTTTTTTGGTTGGGGTGGTGGCGGAGAGTGGTTCCTAACAGCCTTTCACCTACTGGCATCAACATCTATTAATGATTCTTGCCTACATCAATTATTATACAGTGGTAGAAATTAACATATACCATTTAGAGATTAGAAAAATGAAGTTCAGGAAGGAACCTGACCAAGGGCCCACACGCCTGGCTGAGCCAGGAGAGGGGCACCATGCATCCAGCCCTGAGGCTGGCACTCCAGCCACTCCCGTGACCTGCCTTCATTGGAATCTCCTGGATTATACCACAGTTGCTTATCATTTATAAGCCACTCATTCTTTGTCCTTCCTCATGTTTGCATGCGGACATCTGTTTCAGAAATCACTAGTTTCTATTGATCTCGTCTTAGAGTTCCCTCCCTGGCAGCAGAACCTGAGACCTGGATTCTTGTGCAAGGGATTCATTGAGGGAGGGTGCCTAGGGGACGCCTGTAATGAAGTGAGGGATGCAGAATGGGGCAGGGGAGGAAAAACGCAAAGATGTGGACTCAGTTAGACTCCAGCCTCAGCCGGATCCCACAGGGAGCTCTGAAGCATGACAAGCACCCCAGAGTTGCCCCACCCTGTATCTGTACATCATTAGCAGTGGGTCTGTCCCCAGGGAGGGCAGTACTTTCCCAGGTACTTCCAAGAGAAGGGGGGCATCTGTGAGCTCATAGCAGCCAATACTCATGGCAGCCAGGGAATGGGTGTCTGGCTTGGTAAAAGGGATCTGGTTGGGGCACCAATAACTCCCAGTACAGGTTCAATATTTCATTTACTAGCCCTTCCCTGAAGGTTGTCCCTTATAAAAACCAGTTTGTTTTGTAATAATATGCTGTAAACCTCAAACAAATGGCTGACGGCAGACACAATGTTCTAGTTTACTGTGTCACTAATATTACGTGCAGAACTCTGCATTCAATAGATTTGACCTTCTATTTCTAAACCTGTTTTCAAAAGATTCTAAACAACCTAAATGCCTTTTAGTTCAGTCTTAAAACATTTCTTACTTTGAGGACAGAATCCTAAATGCTAAATACCATATATGGCAACCTGAAGGAGTTAACTTAGTCATTGGCAAAGACAAGGTCTAATTGATGGGTGCTCCTTTATGAAGCCCCATGAATCCCATTCACTGCCTTCCTGTTTGGGCCCTGGCTATTTTAGCTGAGGTCAGTTGGTTGTCAGAACAAAGGCTTTTTAACTTCTTGAAACAACCAAGGAGTCACAGGATGTGCCATTCTAAGGAAGGAAGAAGTGTCAACATATTTAGTCTTAGCACGCATGAGTGTCACGATTGTCGTGTTAGAGATTGTTGGTGGAATCTGGTATTGGCAAAACATTGCCAACCTGAGGTGGCAGAAATGAAATGTTTCTTTATTTAGGTTCCGATATGATTCTTTCAGTGGATTGTTACCCATCTCCTTCCTCCCCACTCCAAAAAAAAAAAAAAAAATTGGATTAGTTTGTTAGATATGCAGAAACTCTGGCACACACCAGACCTGCAGGATCTCTGGGGCTGAGACCAGGAACCCGGGTGAATCTTCCCCTGGCTTCAGTTGGGAAGCACTGATCCAGAGCAATAAGCTGTCTTGCTGGCTCAGTGGTTAAGCGCTTGGCTGCTAACCAAGAGGCAGGCGGTTCGAAACAGCCTCGCTCTGCAGGGGAAAGATGTGGCTGTCTGGTTCCATAAAGATTAAAACAAAACACCAAACCCATTTCTGTCAAGCTGATTCTGACTCATAGCAACCGTATAGGGCAGAGTAGAGTTGCCACATAGGGTTTCCAAGGAGTGGCTGGTGAATTCAAACTGTGCCAGCCTTTTGGTTAGCAGCCGAACTCTTAACCACTGTGCCACCTGGGCTACCCATAAAGATTACAGCCTTGGAAACCCTATGGGGTAGTTCTGCTCTGTCCTAAAGGGTCGCTGTGAGTTGGAATTGACTCAGTGGCAATGAGTTTGGCTTTGGTTTTGATCCAAAGCAGTGGCTGTCAAACTTGGCTGCCCTTTGGGATCACTGGGGAACTTTAAACGATTCTGATGCCTGAGTCCCTCCCCAGAGTCTGATTTATTTTATCTGTGGTGCAGTCTAGCCATCAAAGTCATTTTAATCTCCCCAAGTGATTTCAGTGGGCAGCCAAAGTTTAGAATCACAAGTCCAAAGTCTGCCCTTCTACCTTACATGAAAGGACTTTTAGCAGCAGCTTCATTTTGAAGAGTTTGTTCTTACAGCTGCAGATATTCACATCAGATACCTAGAGGCCCTGGAAAGGCATTTGCAGAGGAGAAACGGCCTTTTTGGCACAGATTCTTCCATCTGGAAACTTGCAGCAGACAGAAGGGAAAACTTTGACATATTTGAGAGGAAACAACAGATAAATCTTGAATGGAAGCATGAGATTCTTCAGCTCTGTAGAAAGTCAAGAAAGTAATGGGAGAAGACAGGATGGGTCTCTGGCCAGCCCACACAGTCATTGTGGGTGTTGTCACTGAGCGTGCACACTCAAAAATGACTCCCTGTGCTTGGCCTCTTCTGTACACAGTGCCACTGTTTATAGGTGGGGTCATCCCCATGGAAATATCACACTTCCTTTTTTTAATTTCCCCACTCTCTCCTTGTATTCGGTTTCATCCTCTGCCCTTCTCACTGCCAGAGACTTACTTCATCAAGGCCACACACTTGTGTTTCTATGGGTTGAGATGTTTGAACTCTCCCTGGACATGAATAATCAGGTGGGATGTCCTTGTTCACTGCTCCGGGACAGGTGCTGTGACCTGCTTGGTGAGATCCAGGCAGGGTGTGCATTCTGCCTGCAGGAGAGGGAAAGAGACACAGGAGTTCAATGGCCTCAGATTGGAATATCAGCCCTTTCGCTGATGCCAGGAGCACATCCTTGAGTGAGATACTTCATCGTCCCAGCCTCCTGATCTGCTTTTTTAAAGCTAGGATCATGGTACCTACTTTCAGGGCTGTTGCGAGAAGTAAATGAGAGAATGTTTGCAAAGGGCCTGGCATACAGCAGGCACCCATAGATATTATCCAGTATTCATGCTCTTGCTTGTTAACCACAAAGTGGGGGAACACTGGGCCTCATTTCATGGATATTTATAACTCTGGACAGCTCCGTAAGTTCTTGTCCTCATGTGTATGGTGCAGATTAAATACTTCCTGGGTGATGCAAACGGCAGAGTCGTCTTGAAAAAAAAGACCTGGCAATCTACTTCCAAAAAATTAGCCATTGAAAAACTTATGGAGCATAGTTCAATTCTAATGCACGTAGGGTCCCCATGAGTTGGAATTGACTCAACAGCAACTAGTATTGACTTGTTTTAACAGGGTTAGTGTTGACACTGAAGGTGATGAAGGAGGTCAATATGACTTTTTTTATTGAGATATAATTTCCATACTATGTAATTCATCCTTTTAAAGTGTACAATTCAGTGGTTTTAATATATTCGCAAAGTTATACAACCATCACCACTATCTAATTCCAGGACATTTACATCACCCCATAAAGAAACCCCATACCCTTTAAGCAGCCACTACCCACTACCCACCCTGAGCTCTAGGGAACTACTAATTTACTTTCTGTCTCTATGGATTTGCCTTTTCTGAACATTTCATATAAGTGGGATCATACAATATGTGGCTTTGTGCGTCTAGGTTCTTTCACTTAGTGTGATGTTTCCAACATTCATCCATGTTGTAGCATGTACTTTATTCCTTTTTATGGCCAAATAATATGTATTGTCTGGATGTACCACATTTTATTTACCCATTCATTAACTGATGAGTATTTGGGTTGTTTAACTTAAATTTTTGGCTATGATGAATAATGTCAATCTAATTTTATCAATAACTCAGCACTATTCCATTGTCAAGTTTTATTATAAATGATACTAGTAATAATTTAAAAAATGCTTAGATGTATGAGGAAAAATGAAATCCATTGCATTCAGATAACAAAATGACTGTGTGTATGTGTGAGTGTGGGATTTTGTCTTTGATGCCTGTAGAGCAGCCCATGGCCAAGCTCATGATACATGCTGTTTATTGTGCATTAAGGCTTTGTTAGGTTGCCATATATGGAATTTAGCATTTAGGATTCTGTCCTCAAAGTAAGAAATGTTTTAAGACCTAGCTAAAAGGCATTTAGGTTGTTTAGAATCTTCTGAAAACAGGTTTAGAAATAGAAGGTCAGATCCATTGACTGCAAAGTTCTGTGCTTAATATTAGAGACATAGAGTAAACATGGTCTGCCATCAGAAAGTTTTCAGTCTGGAGGGGAAGACATACAAGGCAATAATTACAAAATGGTACATGTGCTGTGGTAGGCCTAGCCTACAAGATTGTAGGGATAGTCTCCTTGCTGGGGAAAATTATATGGCGGTTGTTTGAATCCTACCCAATTTTGTTTCTCCTAGCATGGTACGACACAAGGATGATGAGGAGAAAGATGCCAAGGCATGCCCCCGGGACTCTGGCTATGACAGCCTCTCCAGCAGGCTCAGCATTTTGGACCGACTTCTCCACACCCACCCCATATGGTTGCAGCTGAGTCTGAGCGAGGAGGAGGCAGCACAAGTCCTACAGTCCCAGCCACCGGGGGTAAGACTCAGGGGAGCAGGTTGGGGCAGGCAGGGCTGCTGCTGCCTTAGAGAGAGGACTGCCAGCAAGTTTTTCCCAGCCTGTAAGGAGCACAGTTCCCAGTTTGTACCTGGGTTGCAATGTAGAGAAATTCTGGAAACTGAGGCGGCAGCTCCCAGGAACAGAACCCTTCAAATTTGTCTTTGTGTCCTTGTTGTCTTGGTTACCATGGAAGTTCCAGGACTCAGCAGGATAATGGGCATCCAGGTGATGAAGACGGGCTACTGGTCCGTAGCCCTGCATTGACCTCTTGACACATCCACTGAGGATGAGCTTGGGCCGAGGTCCTCGGTTACCCTGCTGCTTTCCTTTCATTCTGAGCCTGGGAACCCTGCCAGGACCCGGCCATCCAACTTGGAACCCAGCCCTTCAAAAGTTCTGTGTCCACAGTCGTATCTGTTCTGGATGACCGTGTGGTCCTCTTTTCTGTGGGCTTTCTCAGTGGCTTTCCACTTGGATCAAAGTCTGAATCCATTTCTTCAGCTACTGTCTACCCCAGACCACTGCTTCATCTTGTCAAAACTACCCCATGACTCAATAGAAGTTCCTCAGCCGATTTTTAGTTAATGATTGGTATATCCTGATCAGTCCAATATGGTAACAACTTGCTACCATATTTAAATTTAAATTAATTAAATTAACGTGGCCATTTAAGTGTAAATTAAGTCAGATAAAAAATTTAGTTCCTCAGTCATACTAACCACATTTTCAGTGCTCAGTAGCCACATGTGGCTGGTGGCTACTGGATTGGATGACCCAAATGCAGAACATTTCCATCATTGCAGAAAATTCTATCGGACAGTGCTGATACCCAATGCCTACTTTCAAAAAAGGATAAATAAAATAAGTTCCAGATAATAAGACTTATAACAACACATGGCAAAAGATAGAAACTAAGAGATAGATGGAGAAGTGAAGAGAAAATTCTATCAGTAACTGGCTGAGGAATGTTATAACAATGGGGCACAAAAATAAACTTTCGAGTTTCTTAGTAGCCAGAGCTTGTTATCATGTTTTGACTTAGAAATTTTCTTTTTTGATGGCAGTGAAAATATAGACAACAAAACCTTGGCCGATTTCCACATGTACAATCCAGTGACTTTGATTACGTTCTTTAATGTTGTGCAACCTTTGTTGCCATTCTTTTCCAAATTTTTCTACCACCATTAACATAAACTCGGTGACGAGTCTCTCTTTTTATTTCTTGTCTGACGGAAACAGACAGGAGTAACCCCACTGTTGGAACATACTCAAGGTGACTGGGCACAGCATTTGATCCTCTCTTGGCTAGCACGTCAGGTTGCTGCCTCTAGTTTCGGTCTGTGTGATCAGGATCCCCTCGTGAGGCCTCCACTTTCTGCCAGTTGGGTTGTCAACTCCTGCGTTTCTGCAGAAAATTCTGAAGAGGGAGGTTGTTACATTGCTAGGCAAAAGCTCCGCTCCTTGGTCCACTTCCTTCAGTGTGGGACATGTGGGTTCCTGCCGAGACCTGTGTGGGGAACAAGTCAGGCAGTGAGACTGTCTGCCCACCTGCCTGATCCTTCGACAGGGCTATCTGATGAGACTGGGCAGGCCGAGGGCAGGGTGAAGCAAGGAGCACCAAGAGCCAGGAGAGGCCACGGTGGGCAAGGAGAAGTGGGAATGATGGAGAGGAGGAGATGCAGGTGCTGGAAGTGTGTGTGAAGAAGGGGGTTTGACAGACTGGCCCTGGCGCCATGAGTAAAGTGGGCCTTTGGGGTGCCACCACCCTTAATTATCTACAGCCTAAGACAGAGGTCCACCAACTTTTTCTATACAGGGATAGATAGTAAATATTTTGGGCTTTGTGGCCATACTGTCCCTGTGACAACTATTCACCTCTGCCATTGCAGTGCAAAAGCTGCCACAGGCAACTTGTAAATGAATGAGCATGGTTGTGTTCCAATAAAACTTTATTTACAAAAACAGGTGGCAGGATGGGTTTAGTCTGTGGGCCATAGTCTGCTGACCCCTGATCTAAGACAGTAAGGCTGCAGACATTCAGGAAATAAGCCCAGAAGATGTACTCCCCCTTGGTCCCCAAGGCTTGGGAACATCCCCACTTGCAAAAGAGACTCGACTTTCTCTGCAACCTCCCTGCAGTGCTTTGGTGCTTACTCATCAGGCTTCTATTTAAGAAACATCTTCAGTTTTAGGACTGCTGTAGACACATGGACTCCCAGAACTGGCTACTGGAGGAATTCCATGGACGCAGCCCCGTGGGTGCTGGGAAATAAAAGAGAACTCAGAGGTCTTCTGGTCTCACGCCTCACTGGACACCCAATTCCCATGACCTCCTACCACCAAATAAAAAGTATCTTAGGGACTATCAGAGTGCCTAGGTCATGCAGACGGTTAATGTGCTTCGCTGCTATCCGGAAGGTTGGAGGTTCCAGTCCACCCTGAGGCGCCTCAGAAGAAAGGCCTGGTGATCTACTTCTGAAAAATTAGCTGTTGAAAACCCTACGGAGCACAGTTCTGCTTTGACACACACGGGGTCACCACGAACTGGAATCCACTTGACGGCAACTGGTTAGGAACTATAAACTGGATGTACAGAAAGGAGTGAAGAGGACAAAACGAAAAGCAGAGTAGCTGGGAGGGAGTTGTTTAAATGCAAAGGAAAGAGCAGAGGGAGTGAAAGGAACAGGGCAGGGCAGGATCCTTGGAGAAGGGTCAGGTACTACAGAGGGGAAGTGGGATGCGGCCAGGCTGCGCACTCCAGGGGGCGCCGTTAGAGTTGTCTGCGTGAGCAGTGCGCTCTGGAACTGTGCAGGGCTCAGTCTCATCGCAGTGCCAGTTGCTGCAGGGAAGAAGGTCAGAATGGAGTCCGAGATCCGCAGTGGGAGTTGGGCTGGGTAAAGCATATACATCTGAAGACAATACTAGGACCTGGAGGGAATTATCAGAAAGCAAGGTGAGTCAGGACCAGAGGGACAGCTTCGGAGCACAGCTGCCGCCTCCGCAATGGAGCAGCCTGGCTCAGCTCTGGAGTGGAGGCCTGGTCTTGCCAGATTATCTTGTTTTTCAAGAGCAGCTAGAAATCCAGATTTCAATGTTGAAAGAAAAACCTCCTGCTTTTTCGCTGTTGACAACAGACTCAAATTCTGATTTTAAGTACGCTGGGAGAAAGATGTGGCAGTCTGCTTCTGTAAAGATTACAGCCTTGGAAACCTTATGGGCCAGTTCTACTCTGTCCTGTAGGGTCGCTATGAGTCAGAATCGAGTGGAAGGCAATGGTTTTTTTTTGGTTGTTTTTGTTTTTTTTCTTTTTCTTCAGCCAATGAATTCCCAATTCATCACCTCTGGTTCAGCATGTTACTGCTGCTTAGGATTTAGGTATTCATCAGTGAAGATGTTTACGTAAAACTCGGCTGAATGACATATAACAGGAGCAATAAAACAGTAAGCAAACTGAATATGGAGAAGGTTCCGTCAAAGGGAAAGCTGGATTCTTTGGGAGCCACTCATCAAAGAAAGGAGTCTGTGGTGTGGTCTCTAAGGGCCACTTTCTCTGGCATTTGAGGGTCCTGCGTTGAGCCATGCAATTTGGTCATGAAGGGGGTTCTACTCATGGAAGTCACATGCGAGGGAAAGCATATGCCCAGGTTCCAACCTTCTAGATGTTTCCTAAGTTTGAATTTCTTTTCTCTCCACTAGATCTTCCTGGTTCGTAAGTCTACTAAAATGCAGAAGAAAGTCCTCTCCCTTCGCCTGCCCTGTGAATTTGGAGCCCCACTCAAAGAATTTGCCATAAAGGAAAGCACATACAGTAAGTGGTGGTTGCATAGTTAGGTTCTGGTTGATGTGAGGGTCTCGGGTCCTCTAAAGGTATAAACGTGGAGGGAGCCTGTGCTTTGAGATAGATAAACATGAGTGTGGGCCCCAGCACTGTCACCTGTTTACTGATTGACAGGGCAGGTACTATACGAGTCTCAGTGTTCTCATCTGTTTAATGGGGTGATGGTATCCTCAGAGAGTTGTTAACAGTTCAGCTAAACAACCTGGTGGTCAAGTGTCCGGCCTACTGCTTGGCTTATGATTGGTGCCTAATAGAGACTGGTTTCTTCTCGCCTTCCCAGTTAAGTATGGCCTGGACTCGGTTCCCAGGTTTGCTGATGACTAAGCTGATGTCAGGTGGATCCTGGCTGAAAGCAGAGAATACCAGAAAGATGTTTACCTGTGTTTTATTGACTATGCAAAGGCATTTGACTGTGTGGATCTTAACAACTATGGATAACATTGGGAAGAATAGGAATTCCAGAACACTTAAATGTACTCAAGAGAAACCTGTACGTAGATCAAGAGACAGTCGTTTGAACAGAACAAGGGGATACTGCGTGGTTGAAAGTTGGGAAAGGTGTGCGTCAGGGTTGTATCCTTTCACCATACCTATTCAGACTGTATAGTGAGCAAATCTGAGAAGCTGGACTCTATGAAGAAGTACACGGTGTCAGGATTGGAGGAAGACTCATTAACAACCTGCTTTATGCAGATGACACAACCTTGCTTGCTGAAAGTGAAGAGGACTTGAAGCACTTACTGATAAACATCAAAGACCACAGCTTTCAGTATGGATTACACCTCAACATAAAGAAAACAAAAATCCTCACAACTGGACCAATAAGTAGCATCATGATAAGCAGAGAAAAGATTGAAGTTGTCAAGGATTTCATTTTACTTGGATCCACAGTTAACATCCATGGAAGCAGCAGTCAAGAAATCAAAAGACACGTTACACTGGGCAAATCTACTGCAAAAGACCTCTTTAAAGTGTTGAAAAGCAAAGATGTCACCTTGAAGACTAAGGTGTGCCTGCCCCAAGCCGTGGTGTTTTTAATCGCCTTATATGCATACGAAAGCTAGGCAATGAATAAGGAAGACTGAAGAAGACTTGACTCCTTTGAATTGTGGTGTTGGCGAAGAATATTGAATACACCATGGACTGCCAAAAGAATGAACAAATCTGTCTTGGAAGAAGTACAACCAGAATGCTCGTTAGAAGCAAAGATGGCGAGACTATGTCTCACATACTTTGGACATGTTACCATGAGGGATCGGTCCCTGGAGAAGGACATCACGCTTGGTAAGGGAGAGGGTCAGTGAAAAAGAGGAAGACCCTCAATGAGATGGATTTACACAGTGGCTCCAACAATGTACTCAAGCATAACAATTGTGAGGATGGTGCAGGACCAGGCAGTGTTTTGTTCTGTTGTACATGGGGTCGCTATGAGTCAGAACTGTCTCGACAGCACTTAATAACAGCACCAACAAAGCAGGCTGGTAGGGCTCAGACCTTTTTACAGGATCTAATACTAAAGCATGTGTCTGCACATCTTCATGAGCAAGCATTTCTTGAGTGGACGTGTTCCTTCCAGGCAATCCCTGTTCAGTCTTCTGTGAAATGCAGCTAATCAGAGGCAGAATTCAGCCCTTTGGAAAAAAGTAACTGGTCATAGTTTTGAAGGGAGAGTGGTTCTCAATAGCATTGCTTAAATTTAAATTTAAACTAATTAAATTAATGTGACTAAGTTTAAATTTATTAAAAGTAAGTGAAATTAAAAGAATTTTTATCTGAATCTCAATTGCATGCAACAGCTAGACATTATTCTTTCTGCCCTATTACTTCCCTGATCCTCTCTGTGTGGCTTAACGTGTTGGAAGAGCTAGTTTAAGCAAAGGATTAACCTGGCCACGACTAGTTACCACATGCCTTGGTTGCACCATGCTGGCCCCTTCCCTGCCAGGGCCTGTCTTTAGGAATTGGTGGTAAATTGACAGAGGAAAGACTTGCTGTAAAAACATATAGATATTTTGCCATAACTTCTGGTTTAGTAAGAAACACCATTGTATATTTGAATAGAGCACTTTCACATAAATTATTTCCTGTTTTAAAATTCTAGTTTTCACTACTACCCTTCTGGGTAGACAAGGAAAGTACCGTTATCATCCATTTTACAGATGAGAGAACTGAGGACCAGACAAGCTTACCCACCCAGTTGGTTCCCTCCTACGTAACTCACCATATTATGGTCACTTATGTGATAGTCTCTGTCTCTGTGTGTATGTGTCCGCCTCCCTCTGTTAGTGTGTGGTGTGTGTGAGATGGTATATGGTTAAGGTGTGCTTTGGGGTGCTTTGGAAATACTAAATAAGTAAAATAATACAAAATTAGCAAAATAAATAGGGGTATGGAGTGGTAAAAAAGGGAAGAAAACTCATCTGATCGTTGAAGTAAAGAAATCTTCATAAAACTAAGGGCATTTGGGATGTTTTGGGAAGAATAACAGTGTGAGTGGAATTTCAGCAGAGGTGGCATGAGGGTGGTTGGCAATACATGAGTTCGTTGAGGCAGAACCTCTACTGCTCCGCCATTTAGGAAGATGTACACATTGTGCACCGGTTGGCCAGCACACTCCTTCTCCTAGAAATTGTGCACTTGGGGGAACACTAGGTCAATGGGTCTTAGAATCTTTGATTCTGACTTTAGCCGAAAGCTGATTCGTGGAAACCTTTTATTGTCCTGCAAGCTTACAGTCCTCTCCTCTGTCGTTACCAGAGCTGGGCTGCTTTGGCAAAGAGGAGTGTGACCACAGAGGCCCAGGTCCCAGGAGGTTCAAGGGGAACGGGGGTTGGTGTTCCCCAAGCCCTGTCATGTGCTGCCGTCCCCGCCCCAGCCTGGTCCCTTGCTCCCTGCCCAAGTCTGCTTTCTGAACTTGGAAAGGAAGGATCGTTGTGCAATTCAAGTCTGCCCTGGTCTATTTACCAAGCCTCGAGCATGCTCTTGGAATGAGTCAGGGCAGGACTTCCAGCCTATCCAGCTGTTTACTGGCCTGGCTCTGGCTGACATACATCCTCCCTGTGGCTCGTCCCGATGAGCCACACGGCAGTTTGTCTGAGAACTGGAGTGGTCCCATTCGCACAGGAGGCGGCAGCAGAGGGCCCTTCCTTCCTCAGAACCCACTCAGGAGACTCAGCTGGTTTCTGAAATCTCTTTTCCAGCCTTTTCCCTGGAAGGCTCAGGAATCAGTTTTGCAGATTTATTCCGGCTCATTGCTTTCTACTGCATCAGCAGGTAAGGCCTCTTCCTCTCCTGTGGTTTCTAGGACCTCCTTGGTGTGTGAAATAGTCAGCCCTGAGGCTTCTGCATTAAAGCAGGATGGAGGGGTAAGGACGACTGTGGAAGGATTGGAGCCCTGGTGGTGCTGTGGTTAAGTGTTCAGCTGCTAACCAAAAGGTCGGTAGTTCGAATCCGCCAGCTCCTTGGAAACCCTATGGGGCGGTTCTCCTCCATCCTATAGGGTCACTATGAGTTGGAATTGACCCGATGGCAACAGGTTTGGTTGTGTGTGTGTGTGTGTGTGTGTGTGTGTGTGTGTGTGTGTGTGTGTCTGTGTAGGCATTCATCACCTGAGTAAAATGTTCAAGTCCCATGCATCAGGCTTAAGATCAAAACAACTGTCTAGGACCCTCAAATGTAAATTCTCATTAATGTGATTATTTCTTCAAGCTGCTTCCAGGCTGCGCTCAATTAGACCCATTAAAGCAGGAAAAATGCCCATACACACACACACACACACACACACACACACACCCCGAAACACCACACATATCATGCGTACCACATGCATGTACTCACACACAGACTCACGCTCACATGCGCACATACACACTCACACACACTCACAAACATGCACAAAAGGATGGATCATTCAAAGCGGTAACACTTAAAGGCCCCAGACAATGTTTGTGAAAACTCTCCAAGGGAGGGAGTTTGTTTACGAGTGTGGGCTCCCTAGACGTGCCCTGGGAACCCTGCATTATTGGACTTGAGGCAGGCTGGGTGCTTGAGTCCTTTTCATAACTAAGGTGGCTCTTTTCGCCTACCTGCAGTTAAGCCAGAAGTCCCAGCGTTTACAGGTGTCTAGGGTGTGAGTTGTGGAAGGCTTACTTTTAAAAATATTTTTTCTTTTGATTCTAGCAGTAGCAGTGTTTCAAATCAGGTGATCTTGTGGTGACTCGGAATCTGACTCTGATCTGTGGGCCTGGTGCTGCCTCCCATGTAGGAGCACAGGAGGCGGCTACCCTCGCCCCCTTTGCTTTTCTGCTTGTGGGTTGCGGCTGAGTTTAGGGGATACACGGGAGTGTGCTACCGGGGTGTTTTCACGGCTGAGGAGTGTGCTTGGGTTTGGCTTATAGTATTTTTAAGGATTAGGTTATTTCTCAGACTGAGTTAGACTTTCGTTATACTTGATGGACTAAGCTGTTCCGGGGGCAGGACTTGGCTGTCTACCACCTGGGGGTCTCCAGACCAGCCAGACCCACATGATCAGAGACCTGGGGGGGGAGGGGCACTTTCCAAGGATGGCTCCATCGCTGCTTACCAGAATAAACCAGGGCTTCTTCCAGACCTGGACCACACGCCCTGTGAGCACGCCCGTCTGCGTGGCTTGCGCAGGATCCCTGGGCCTTTGGAGGGGAAATGCGCTGCCCAAAGACAGGGAGCCAAGCAGGAGCCCCTCCCGTCCCCGGGGACCACACCTGCTGGGTCAGAGTGAAGGAGTGAATTTCAGCGCTACAGTGTAGGCCAGAGGTGGAGTTGTCCATGTGTGCCCTTCTGCATGGTGTGCTCGTTGGTAATTGTGCCATCGTTGTGAAAGAGTGTCACACCCAGGAAGCAGTACTTGGCAACAGCCCAGCAAAGACGTCATCACCTCTCAGGTTCTTAACACCCCACCACCTGCTGCTCGGGGCTGCCTGACCAGAGGGAGCTAAAGCACACGGGTACCTTTGCAGACTTCACGGCCTGATTCCACCGTGGTGTTTACACAAAAACCAACACTGCCATTGTGCAATTAGACGCCCGAGATTAATGTCTCCTTTTTTTTCAAAATGCAAAGGTACTCGAAATTTTGCTTCTGCTTTTCCACTGGTTGCTACTCATTGACCTGAGTCTGTGTTCTTGGTCATCAGTAGTTGATTTGACCCAGTCTTACCAAAATATGTTGGCAGTTTTTTGGTTGATGATTAGTACACAAGTATATTCAAATAGAGTGATTAGATTATCAGTGTTGATATTCCACACAGGTGCACCTGAGAATAGCATTCACTGAGTGATTAAAAACTGTTGAGGTCAAGTCGATTCTGACTGTGACAGGCACGTTGAAAAGTAGAGTTGAGAATACAAAAAGTGACTGCAAAGCTTGACCAACCACGCCTAGTCTTGTTAGTTGCTGTCCTTGGCTCCTGGGCCCCTTGTGATCTTCGTCTGGCTTGGTATCTCTCTTCCCCTATCTCTGCTTGCTAGCTTGCATTTCATCTCTCATACCTCAAAAGAGATTGACTCCAGATATGCCCTGTACTACTTCTGCCTCGTTAACACAACAAAGACAACCCATTCCCAAATGGGATTATAATCACAGGCATAGAGGTTAGGATTTACAACACATACCTTTTGGGGACACAATTCAATCCATAACAAGGTCCCACATGCTTGAGTTCCAAACCCACCCCACCCCCACTTCACCCCTCATTAGCTCTGTAGGAGCACGCCAGGGACTTCACCTGTCTGTTTCTGATGCTCTTGATCTGTGGGAAGGGGGAAGTTACAGCTTCCTCCCAGGGTTGTATGTGGGTCCATGTGAGCTACAGTGCATGGTACAATGCAATACTAGGTGCTCAACAATACCAGTCTCCTCCCCTTTAGAAATACGATGTATAGAGCAAAGTTAAAAAACTAAACTGAACTAAACTAGACTATGTATGTACTGAAACTCTTGGGCGAAACATTTATGTCAAAGATGATGGCTTTTTTTACCTGTTATGCAAGTTTTAGAATGGGCCCCCTTTCTTTAGCAGGTGTAGATGACAAGAAGTTGTCCCCTTTTGCATGTGTATGAGAAGAAGGAGCTGTGATACACCCTTTGGCTGGTACAACAGGCTCCTGTGCAACATCTCATTTTGTAGTCTATCAAAGCCTGAAACCATCCATTAATGAATGATGGGTGTGGTTTCCCGTCATATGTCATTAAGAAAGACCCAAACCAGTCATGTGATGTTTAGGCCCCAGGTATTGCACTGAGCAAGGTAAAAACTTAAAACAGGTTTATTTTGTTGCTTGTACTTTTCCCCTCCCAATTGTCTGAAGAAAGCAGATTTTAATTAAGTTGATGCAGCCATACAAGCATATATTTGTATGATATTTTGAGTTATGAAGTTCCAGTTCCTGTTAATTTTCACCTAAGATTATGATCAGGGTCACTGCCTGTCCTGGGTCAGGGAGCAGCTATTACCCTAAGAGTCTCATGGAAGCAGTTGGGAGCTGGGCTTGACATCCCAAGGCAGAGGAGCCTCAGCTGGCTGCCCTATCCTGACCTGACAATTTATGTGAGTGGCGTATTGGAACTTTTGTGACACTAGTAAATTTTAGTCATGTTTTGTTCTTTTAATTGACTTTACTAATTTGTTATCCATTGTCAACAGTTTTAAGGATTCCAAAAGTCTCAGACATCTAGATTTGATCTCATTCAGCCCAGAATGGTGCCCGATCTTATTGTAAACAACCAGTTGTTTAGTATAGTTAATGCTGGTCAGTGGAAATTCTCATGACATCTTCCACTGACAAAATACAGTCTTGTCCCTCACGTACTCCACCCCAGCCACAATGGCCTCCTTTGCTGTTCTTCATACCTCCTAGACCCTTTCCCACCTCAGGGCCTTTGCACCTGCTGCGTGCTCTACCTGGAATGCTCTCCCCCTGAAGGCTTACTCCCTGGCCTCCTTTAGGTCTTCAGTCAAATACTCCTTCTCAGAGAGGACTTCCCTGGTCACCCCCAACACTCTCACACTCTTTATCCCCCTTCTGTGCTTTATTTTTATCTGTAGCACATATCCCCTTCTTGTATGCTCCGTAAATTGCGTATTTGTTTATTGTCTGCTGGTGTCCACTGGAGTGAAGCTCCGTGACAGCAGGAGCTTCTGTCTGTTTTGTGGCCAGCACCTGAAACAGTGCCTGGCACTTCACAGGTGATCATAAATAGTTGTTGAATGAATGAAAAATTCTGTGTAAGATCAATACGCCCTATAGGTAAGTCACTCTTGTCATCAATGAATATTCATTCATTCAAAAAACACTTTCTCCCTGTCTGTATCCAGCAAGGTGTGTGCCAAGCCCCATGAGGGATTCACCAGTGTTGAGAGTATAGTCCCAACCCTTGTACATGAAAGTGAACAAAGTTTGTTAAGTCTGCCTTTGCCCATTCCTGAGAGAGCAGGTGGCCATGGGCTGTGTGTCTACTAATGATGCCTCCGCGCCCTGGCAGTGGCAGCCTGGTGCCGCCTTAGCTCTCCCATTGGGCCTGGTGCTCTGTGATGCACGTGTTTGCCTGTATGCATGTGGTGCCATGCTGCTTGGACCCAGGGTTGGTGACATGAAGCAGGGTTGGTCACATGACTTCCTGCTCAAAGTATGGTCCAGGGACCAGCAGCATCAGCATCGCCTGGGAGCCTGTGGGAAATGCAGCCTCTCAGGCCCTTCCAGACCTCCTGAATCAGAATCTGCAGTCTAACAAGGTCCCCAGGGGATTCCTGTGCACATTGAAGTTAGAGAAGCACTGCCTTAAAAAGCGACAGAGTTTTGTCTCAGTGTATAAAGGACAGTGTGTGAGTTCCAGCTGGAAGATATCTCAAGTAAAATCAAAAGACGTTCATTGAGAACCTGCCATGTTTAAGGCAATGGGCTAATAAATCTTGGGTGAGGATTATACGTTCCTGCCCAGGGAGTCGGGCCCACCATTAAGATGGCATCTAGCAAGTTAGTATATACCGTTTCATATGTATGGTAGATCCACCAGCGTAATCAGTGGTTCTGATATTAACTTTAGATGCCTCTTAGCCACCCAGCAGGAAAACTCAGTTTCCGCTGCAGATCCTGAAACCACGGAGGCTTCTCTTTTTTTTCAGCCTTTCCTGAATGTGGTAATTTTGGCAGGAATAATAAGCACTGATCTCATCACCTGTAAAGTTCTGGTTGGGTACATTGTGGTGTCCAGTTAGAACATTGTAAACAGTTTAAGTTAAAATCTCTCTAGGACGAAATGAAAGCATGAGACAGAAACCAGACATATCATTACAAATATTTTCTCTTTTCTGAAAAATCAGGGACGTTCTGCCATTTACCTTGAAGTTGCCTTATGCCATTTCAACAGCCAAGACGGAGGCTCAGCTTGAAGAACTAGCCCAGTTGGGACTAAGTAAGTAGGTACTCCTTCCCTGAGCCCATCTTAGAAGGGACACGTGGATCAGAATCAGTGTGAGGCTGGGTAAGGCTGTATCGTGATGTTAAACACACCTGTGATTAAAAATAATCCCATCTCCATGGCAAAGCGCAGCCTTCAGGACCATGGGGTCCCTGAATCAGACTTTATGAGATTCTTTTTCCAAGTCATCGTCCAGCCAACTCTCAAACAGCCTGGTGCTAATTTTGCCTGGGTGTCCCCTAAGTCCCCCCAGCCTATGTCATTACTGATTTTGGGCTATATACAAACCCGAAGTCCTAATGTACCGTAGACATTTATAACATGTCCCTCGGTGACCTTCCCTTCTGTGGCATCTTGCTGGGGAAAAGCAGTGCCTGACAGAAAGAGAAAGTCCCCGTGATGTGCCTCATGTGCCAGGTTTTATTTCTAGAGGGGAACCGGAGCCCTGACGACACTCCTGTGCTTTGAGGAATTGGACAGTCCAGGCACCCAGAGCAACATCTGTCTCACTTCCTCTCTGTGTGTACTTCCAGTCCTGGGGTTCTGGGCCACATCCCTACCACGCCATGGGTCATCACTGTAGCCAGCTGGGCGCTTGCCTTCCCCTCCTGACCCTTTGCTGATGCCCTTAAACCCATCTCAATTCTGCTGAGCAGCAGTTGACAATGGATCAGGACATAGAACTCACCCAGGTTACCTTTCTTTGTCCCATTGCCTAGGGAATCCTTGTGGGTTTAACTTTAGCAAAAAAAAAAAAACAAGAAAAAAAAAATTCTCTCTAGATGTGAGGAGGAAATACTATTAAGAATTTGGGGCTTCCATCTTTAGATAGATTAACAACCAGACTGCAGTATTTGAGTGGCTATTGGGATTCTGAAGAGAAAATGCCAGCATTCCTAGAATCCGAGAAGATATGATACTAGGACCAGCAAATAAAAAATATAAGTGTTTCCCTTTTGGCATATTTTTCTCTTAATCTCAAGAGCTTGTTTTGATGGGTGCCATTTCCAAGGAAGCCTGCATAATTATAGAGAAACCTGACAGTAGCTTCAAGTGCCCATCTGAAACAGATTGCTTAAAAGAATTGCCACATGTGCCTGAGGTCTGTTTGATGGATTGCGAAAGAGAATCCTGGTCAAAATTCAGGACCATATAAATGTCCTCACTTAAAAGTTGCCCCATATCTTCCATTTAATGCCTTCGGAAAGTGTTTAAAAATATTTTCCTGAATTGAAGCACACATAGTCCACTAGATTCTAGGTGTCTTGAAGGCATGAGCCACGTCTCCCTCCCCACGGCCCCTGGCCAGGTGGTCAGCATGCAGGGTGTGCTCAGAGCTGGGCTGAGGGCTGGAGTGTCACAGACAGTGCTGTGCACTGGTGGCTGTAGCGGCCACTACTCCGAAGCTAATGAGGTCTCATTAACACCCATTCGCTTGTGGTTGTCAATGGGCATGACGGAAAGCACATTTTAAATCCTGTACCTCACTTATTCATTCATCCTACATATATTTCTAGAGGGTCTGCTATGTGGCAGGCACTACTCCCCATAGCAAGGGTTCAGTGGTTAATCAGGTGTCCCCTACCTTGCCCCAATGTCCATAGTTTATATGGGAGAAATGCACATTTGTGAAGTAGTACAAAATCTTATAGCTATGACAGAAGTCCAAGGAGGGCTCAGGGAGGTGGGACCAGGCCCACCAAGACCTGCCCTGACCCAAAGAAAACAGCCCATGGGTGATTTTAAGTTTCCTAGTAGCCGCGTCTAAAAAAGTAAAATAAAACTGGTGAAATTAATTTTAATAATATATTTTATTTAATGTAATATATCCAAAATGTTATCATTTCAACACACAATATCAAAAGTTATTAGTGAGATATTTCACATTCTTTTTTATGCTAATTTTTTGAAATCCAGTCTGTATTTTACTGTAACTGCACACCTGGAGTTGGCTACTAAATTTTCGCAATCTGTGTTTAGATTTCACTACATTTACAGTTGAAAAAATAGATTCACATACCCAGGTTGTTCCAAGCATACTTAAAAGTTTTCCAGTAACTAAACTGAGTGTCAGTTTTTACATTTAAATTTATTAAAATTAAATACAATTTAAAATTCAGTTCCTCCACTCACTAGCCACATTTCAAGGGCTCAGTGGCCACACATGGCTGTTGGCTCCATGCTGGACAGCGCAGACCTAGAGGGGAGGGAAGGAAAGATACAGAGAAGACCCCACAAGGCTGAGGACCTGTCCCCCAACACCAGGCCTTGCTTAGAACACACACAAAAGGTCTCCCAACATAAGCCTCTCCCATCTGAGACCAGCCATTCTGGGCCCGTAGGAAGAGAACACACTTCAAACAAACACAGCAAGGCAACGCTAGAGGGAGAGAGAAAAGAACCTATTCCAAATGGAAATTATAACAGACAGCATTTATCACCAATTTGCACAGAAAACACGGAGACACAGGTGGTATAGATGCAGTAAGCAACCTGCAGGTCTCCAGAGTGTTGGGAATTTATAGCCGTGCTAAGGAGGTTACTGGATTTGGGAAGGATGAGCAGCAAACCATCAAGATAAATGGCTGAACCGGTACTTTGTGATTTTCGTATGTTTGCTTCTGCTGCTGTTGTTGTTGTTGTTTTTTGCTAATGGGACCCAGGAGTGTATTTTCCCTCCTTTCAGTGTTTTAGTGCTGAACATGTAAAACCCCATACAAATTGTGTAACATCCCCCCACCCCCAGGCCCAGCTGCTGGTCCTGCCCTGGAAGGGGAACTGCCAGGCTGGATCTCTTGGCTGGCGGCTGCCTCTGTGGAGGGTGCCTCAGAGGAAGCTGATGGGGAAGGGGGGTGGTGCTTTGCACACTGACTCCGCTTTTGTGAAGTCAGGTGCCCTGATAGCCTTTCTCAAGCTAATACTGTAACAACTCCAGTTTGTTTTTCCTTCCGACATACCTATGAAAAAGCTGGGCTGGAGTTGTATGCTGGCCAAGCCATTTCTCAAGGGCTTTGAAGGTAAAAAGTCCCTGGAGCCCTCCTGTGGGCCCACAGCTGGACCTGGCAGCCTCCCCACCCTTTCCGGTAAGGGAATGCAGTGAAAACATTAAAAAAAAAAATCGGCCAAACCCAAGTGCAGGGCCTTCGGCTGCAAAGATGCCCATTGTAACACACTGTGCTTTTTTAATTTGTGAAGGAATGGCCCGAGTGTATTGTATTTACATTCTTGTGTTCACCGATAATGACTTTCAGATTTCTGGAGCTCTCCAGCTGACAACCAACCCCCAAACCCTCCACCTCCCCATAGGCCTCTCTCCTCAGACGGTGCTTGTCCCGCCTCGAGTCAGCTCTGCCTCATAAATGGAGTGCATTCTATAAAAACCAGGACGCCTTCGGAGCTGGAGTGCAGCCAGGGCAACGGAGCCCTGTGTTTCATTAATCCTCTTTTCTTGAAAGTGCACAGCCAGGACCTCAGTGGAAGCCTGCCGAGGTCCAGCACAAGGACTCCCAACGTGAATGGCACCGAAAGGCCTCGGTCCCCCCCACCCAGGCCCCCGCCACCCACTATTAATAGTCTCCACACAAGCCCTCAGCTGTCCAGGAGCGAGACCCAGGCGAGCATGCCAGAAACAGTCAACCATAACAAACATGGGAACGTAGCTGTGCCTGGAACGAAACCAACACCCGTCCCTCCGCCCCGGCTGAAGAAGCAGGCTTCTTTTCTTGAGGCAGAAGGCAGTGCAAAGACCTTGACCGGTGGCCGGCCTGGCCCCGGCCTCGAGCCCAAGCTGGGCACGGCTGGTGGCCCAGGTGGGGCCCCACCCTCGGAGGCGCCAAGAGATTGCACAAGGGCCCAGCCTCCCTGCTCTGAGTCACGGCCTCCGTGGAATGGAGGCAGGCAGAGGCTGAGCGACATGAGCATTTCCACTTCCTCCTCTGACTCGCTGGAGTTTGACCGCAGCATGCCTCTCTTTAGCTACGAGGCAGACACTAACAGCAGCCTGGAGGATTATGATGGCGAGAGTGACCAGGAGACCATGCCCCCGCCCATCAAGTCCAAGAAGAGGAGCAGCTCCTTCGTGCTGCCCAAGATTGTCAAGTCCCAGCTCCGGAAGATGAGCGGCGTGTTCAGCTCCTTCATGACCCCCGAGAAGAGGATGGTCAGGAGGATCGCCGAGCTGTCCCGGGACAAGTGCACCTACTTCGGGTGCCTGGTGCAGGACTATGTGAGCTTCCTGCAGGAGAACAAGGAGTGCCACGTGTCCAGCACCGACCTGCTGCAGACGATCCGGCAGTTCATGACCCAGGTCAAGAACTACCTGTCCCAGAGCTCGGAGCTAGACCCCCCCATCGAGTCCCTGATCCCCGAAGACCAAATAGGTAAGTGCCCACTGCATTTTTTTTTCTTTTTAATATAAAGCATACTGTAATCTTGTAGGACAGCGCACCCTAGGTTAGTTATTTTGGATGAAGTTTTCCCCAAGATGTTCGAAACAACAACAAACTCCACCCCCTCGCCTGGTTCTCATAGAAAAATCAGCTTCTTAAAGTAGATCTCGCGTTATACCTAACACGCCAGGCTTGGAAATGTTTTAGGAAGCGACTGATAGAAACGGGGATGATTCTGCTGGGAATGGAGTTTGTGCCTACCTCGTTTTGTAACGTGTGTGTGTGCCATATGTGCTGTGTGTACCGTGTGCATGAAATGTCTGTTAAGCATTTTGGGAAAGTGTGTGTCTCTACAGGTTGGGCGTGCATAGAAGGCATTGGTGCTGTCTCGTTCGAGGCAGATGTTTTGTCCGTTCTATTTGGGAAGTAATATTTTTATTGAGGTGCAGCATATGTTTAAAAGCATGCAAAGATCATGGATGTGCACCTGGGTGAGTTTTCGCAGTGAACACACCTCTGCAGCGAGCTCTGGCTCAGTAAGCAGAAGTTGCCTGGGGCACAGAAGCCCTTGGGGCGTCTTCCACGCCTCCACTTGCTGCAAGCCTGGCTGCCTGCTGGCTTCCAAGCCGGTAGAGGGGTTCTGTGAGAGGCACGGTTTCAGAGTAATCAAAGAAGGAAAAGACAAGTTTATATTTTGAACCTTTAAAATAAGTAATATAGCTTGGAGGTCACACAAAAGATGTTTTCTCCAAAGTCAGGGAGAAATACTTTCTTTACAACCTCATTCAAGGGCTGAGTTGTTAATAGTTAATTTTGACCAAGGCAAATTTGAATTTGGCAAGCAATCTTTTTTTCCAGGGAGGCTGTGGAAGGAATTTTTTTTTTTTCTTTCAGAAGGTTGGCTCTAAAGAGCTCATTTCAGAGACCTCACCCCCTTGGCAGGACAGCCCAGAGAGCTAGCAGACATTGCTAGGCAGCTCCTGAATCTACAACCCAGTTTCTCCTGTCAGATTGGGTCTGTTTGTTGAAATAGTAAACAGCATGTGGCAGAGAGTGGTTTCTCTCATTTTGCTTTCCTCATTCTTCAAGAGAGTTTCAGCACAAAGGAATCAAAGCCTTGTTTGTTTTCGTGTGGTTGGACAGAGCTGGATTGATGGGGCGTGGCTAGAGCTGGGATGTGGCTGAAAGGAATGTGCCCTGATGGTGTGCCCTAGATTTAAAAAGGCTTAGAGGAGAAGGTAGGATAATCCACATGACCTCCTCTTTCCCCAGTCCCACCGCAGCCCCCATCTCAGGTGAGACCAGCTCCAACCTATGTGGCCACAGTGCCAGCCAGCGCCCCCAGGGAAGAGGCTCACAACTCGGCTGCACCTCCCAGCCAAAGTTTTAGTCCCAGGACACTCTTTGGCCAGCTTCTTTTGTATGAGTATGAGCTCAAAGGCTTATTTTCTCCAAAGACGTGTAACCCCCGTTGCCCTCAAGTCAATTCCAGCTCATAGTGACTCTATGAGACAGAGTAGAACTGCCCCATAGTGTTTCCAAGGAGGGGCTGGTGGATTTGAACCACCGACTTTCTGGTTTGCAGCCAGGCTCTTAACCACTGCACCGCCAGGGCTGCTTTGCAGGCCTATTGAGAAGGAAAGTGGCACTTATGGAGCCTCCAATATGAGCTGGCAGCCCACCCAAGCTACCTTAGCATGTCCTCCCCTCACCCTGTGAAGCAGACGTTGGCATTCCCTGTTAAAGGGAGCAGAGCAGGTCTTTGCCAGGTGGAGCACTTTGTCCCAAGGCCATCCCAGCTAGCAATTAGCAGATGCTGTGTTTGAAGTTTGTTCTGTGATGCGAAGCCTGTATTTTTCTAACCTCACCCCTCTGCTGTTTTTGTGCCTATTGTTTCTCCTCAGAGCCCTTACAACTTCCCCTGGAAATTAAGGGGGATTGTAAGAGTAGGCCAACCCTTTGTTAAGGCAGCTCAGACTAAAGCTCTCTGTTGAGGTGGGGCATGGCCTCCTTAGGCATTGCCACAATGTTTTGTTGGTTTGTTCGACTTTTATATTAAAGAGGCTGTTGCTTCACCAGTGAAACCTTCATGCAGTATTGAAACTGCGGTAAAAGTGTCGGACTTTTGAAATTGGGAGTAAGGTAAGCAGGTTTACCTGAAAAACTCTTAACAAGAGAAATATGAGGTCCTAATGACAGTGAAACGTGTGAGGGCTGGAGCTCGACAGGACTGCCTTGTTTTTCCAGAGCTCACAAGTTCTCCGTCTTTGACAGGGTACAGTCTTACCACGTTTTCTATCACTCTCTATTGGTGGAAAATATTTGAGGTTTTCCTTTTCGGACAGGTTTCCACCTTACACAGGTTCCGGCTTTCGCAGGTTTTACTGTGTTAGAAAACCAGTACCTTAAACTTATGGGTTACTAGATTAGGACTCTGACAAGAAAATGGGCTTAGCCTAATTATCTATGTTTTCCATACTCCTAAATAAAGGGTTTACTGGTTTACTAAGGACTTGTTCATACAGTGACTCCTTTGAGTCTCCTAACCAACTTGAGGTTGGTCTATTTGTGGAGGGATTATTCATGTTTTGCAAATCCAGGAACAGAGGCCAAGCTGTGTAGAGTGACTTGGCAGAGGGTTACACTGCTGGTAAGTAGGAGAGCTTGGATTCAATCCAGATCTTCTTACTCTTGGTTGTGTGCTCATTCCTGCTCTCATTTCCTGGGAGGAACAGCAGAGAGTTTTCACTTTTGAATGCCATCTCCACAATCTCAAGCCTCAAATTTGTTCAGGACAGATGTCTCCTAATGCTTATAAAGCTTTTCCAGAATGTCAGTTGAGTTTCTCTGCTTTAAAAAATCTAGCCTTTTTTCCTAGTTTCTAAAGGAGATACCTCTGAACTATGAGACGGGAATTTTAATTTAAAGCCTCGGTTTACAGAAAGTCCATACATGAAATCAAGAAAGTAGGAGGAGGCATTTCACTGGTTTAATCCATATAGAATTAGCAGTTATTCAGATGTGTAAAGGACAAATGAATGTGTGCATATGAATCTCTTCAGCATACAGAGATGGTGTTAATCTGTCTTCTTCAGTGGGTGGTTCTTCAGTTGTATAAAGAAAAGCCAATGAGGAAACCAAATAGTTCTCACTCACTCCCATTTAATCCATGTGCTGGTGTCACTACCCTTTAGATCAGCACTAGGCAAGTATGAAATGATAGACAATCAGCCAATCTGAAAAATGAAACCAGCTGTTTGAAATGATTGTGCCCTATCATGAAGAATTGCTTTCCGTTAGACTACTTTTTAAAGCACTTTCACCTGCAGGTCTTCCATTTAGAGGCTCTTGAATAAATATTAGTTGACTGATGACCGCTTGGCTCCTCTGGTTGGAGAATGCAGCTAATAAGGGTTAATTCCCATGTGAGCTAACTCTCTTTGCTCATTTCAGGGCCACATATTGTGACTTGATTCCAGAGAGCTAGCCACCCTCTCCACCCCCTAAAGTGTCTGTCAGCACATGGTAGAACAACCAAATGCTTTAACAAAACATGTACATATCTTTCAGGTCCTACTGGAATGCCCACTCAAAGCCTGAGCCTAGTAACTTCATGGATAGAGGGAGTTATTCTCATTACTGGTGCCTCACGCTGTGAAGTATAGAAGGGTGTCATATTGCTTATTATTCCAGCAGGTGGGATTCACTGGTGGATTTTCATACCATACCACTCCTGCTTTGTTCTTTTTCAATGGGAAAAATTAGTCCAAAGTCTCTGATAGAGAAATCTCCTTTTTGCAGAATTTGTTTCAATTGTGTTGTTAATGTTTTGATTTTATTCAAGTGAAATAGTTTTTGTTTCTGACTTGATGTCAGTCTTGGGAAATCCCTCTGTTTTCAAGTATTGCTTCAAGAAAAAAAAAAGTTTTCAATTCCAAAATTGTTAGTAGTCCCAAATTTTCTGTTACATTCAAGCATCTCACGACAGACTCTCAAGCGTGACACAGAACAGCTAACTGTTCATATTCCTAAATGGCAATAGCAAAAAACGAGACAGTATTTTGCTTTCTTTAGTTGCTGTAAACCAAAATGTGTCTTTTCCCTAAAAAGCATTTTAACTATTTGGAAACAAAAGCACCCCACGTATTTTGAAGAGCACATCAATTTAGATATCCAAGTTTGTTTGTTTTTTTTCTAATAGAAAAATGATATTAAAATTGTGGTTAAGAACCAAGAAATATAGGCATGAATAAGAAAACAGGTTTGAAATGATTCCCTAGGACTTCAAACTATCACAACTACTTTGGTTCAGATAATTAAAAAAAAAAAAAAGAATATTGGATCAGGCTTAAGCTTTAGTAACTAGTGTGACTTGTTTTTATTTTTTTAATTCACAGTTTGGTTCATGCCCCTGAGTTATTATCTACTCTTTGTCAGATGAAGAGTCATTCTGAGGAATGTGGGCAGAGAGGCATGTTAGTGTCAAATTGTGATTAAAACTTTGAACCTCTGACTTCTGATCTAGCCTACATGACCATGTTGCCTGGAAGGAGCTTGTTCAATTAAGGATAGTGAGAGAAGAGAAAGATCAGCTTCTCGTGGAATGCAGAAAGAACGCTTGTATTATTTTTTTAAATTAGCTTAAATAGAAGACCACAGCAAGAAGCACCTTTTCTTTCCCACGGGGCATCATTTTCTGTATAATCTTTACTTTAGGGCATCAAAATTTAGTTAATTATGTTATGTCAACTAAAAGAAGGCTCCCAATCCTGGAGTTAGAATTCCTAGAGTTAGAAGCCATGGTCTCTGACCCCATGAATATCCTACACAAGGGAACTGGTCCTTCGTAATTCAGAAAGCCCTTGCCAACAGGTGGGAATTGGGGGAAGGCATCACCAAGCAGCTCACATGGAGACGTCTGTGCTAGAGTGTTTTCTGACCACATCCCTAGGCTCTTCAATTTCAAGAGAGAAATAAATGCCTCATTGTCA